CTGTCCGTCACCAATTGTTTCTGCCCATTTAGCAGGGGTCCTATTCCTCCCTGGGCCTTCCTTTTACTCCCTATATATCTAAAAAACAATTTCTTGTTGTCCTTTACTTGGGATGCCATCCTCAGCTCCATGGTAGCTTTGGCCCGTCTAACTGCCTCCCTACAAGCGCGAGCAGAGGAGGTATACTCCTCTTTGGTAATCTCTCCCTGTTTCCACTGCTTATATGCCCCCCTTTTGGCCCGTAGGCTGCTCTGGATTTCTCTGGTCAGCCAAGGAAGCCTCCTGGCCCCTTTCCCTCTTTTTCCTCGCATCAGGATCGTCTCCCTTTGTGCCCGAAGGATCGTTTCCTTAAGGCACAGCCACCCTTCCTGGGCTCCCATCACTTCAAAACTCCTACTCTGCAGGGCGTCCTTGAGTAATCGCCTGAGTTCATTGAGATCAGCTTTCCTAAAGTCTAGCACTTTCACCCTACTAGTTACCTTACCCACTCGACGTCTGATGGTGAATTCTATTATTTGGTGATCACTGTCCCCCAGATGGCCACCGATCTGTAGGTCCCCTACCATGTCATCCCCCGTTGCCAATACCAGGTCCAGTAAGGCATCCCCCTAGTGGGACCATGTACCTCCTGTGTCAGGTGGAGGTCCTGGACACAGGTTAGAAACCTGTGTGAGCAGTGGGACTTTGCTGTGTGCGTCTCCCAGCAGATGTCTGGGTAGTTTAGGTGTGTCCCTTGACCCCACAAGAGGCCAGTCCCACCACCCCGGTGTATGTGTCTAGTCCCACCGCCCTGGGTGCTGACGTGGATGACACCGGTCATCCTTTCAATGGTCCATTAATCCACTCCAGTGACTGCACCCCATCCTGTGTCCCAGTCTTTCAAGGCAATCCAAGGAAGCCAATGGATTTTGGAGCACTTAAAAAAGTCACTTTTGGAGCAGAGAGGGACTCCCAGCTTTAAGGGTAGCAGAGCTCGGGCTGCATTGTGGTCTAGTCCTAGAAAAGCTGCAGGGCTGCGGGAGTTCAGGCTCTGAGAGCTGCCCCTGCCATTACAGCCCTGTCTTGGAAATGCCCAGAGCAAACAGTTCAGCGAGGCTCCTCCTGTCACCGGCTGCCTGCGTCTGGGTTTGGCCCGGAGGTGACGGGAATATTTCTGAACCTCTGCTTCGCTTGCAGGTCCGCCTGGGAGCCCCCCAGCCCTGTGCTGGACCCCACGGTAGTGCTACAGACCACCAAGATCAAGTACCAACGGCAGATCGCGGAGCTGAAAGACTTAAGCGGTGTCGTGAGTTTAAAAAAAGATGCTAAAACCGCGGCTGCGCCCCGGAGGCAGCTGGTGCAGTGGCAGTGGCTCAGGAGGGAGGGCTGCAGCATGGGGGTAGCTCTGCCAGGGGGATCCTGGAGCTCCCCCAGCTCCCTGCGTCCAGACAGGGGTCTGGCTGGGCCATTGCAGGGAGGCATAGCCCCCCCATAGCAGGTTTGTAACACAGGGCTGTGTGTCAGCAGTTTGGGGTCTGCCTCGTGCTCGTACAGCGCCTTGCACACGGAGGTGCTGCTGCTAGCACTGTTAACACAAGAGCAGAGCTTGCAAAGGGCTCTGGAAAAAACCCTGCCCCTCAAAGCCCTTCCCAGCCTTTCTAGCTGGTGCCCATAGCTTGGAGATCAGGTTGGCTGGGAAATGGGTTTCAAAGAGCACGGCGGGCCCAGTACATCGTGCACATTTCCCCGCCTGGCAGCTCCGCGGGCCTGTCGGAGAGCTGAGAGGCCTCTGTCTGCTTTGCAGCTGGCGTATCACATCATCGAGCTGAACACGATCCTCAAGGCCAAGGAGACCGAGCTGGAGGTGCAGAGAACCAGGTAGGGGCAGCCAGACCCGCTGGACGGTGCTGAGTGACCACCGCTGCCTGCAGCGCTCCCTGCCTTGGGGCCTGTCATCGTCGCACCCCTGCCATTATGCAAACAGCCTCATCTGCTGGGGGGGCGGGTCTGGGGCAGCTCCCAGGTCCCGTTCCACCTCTTGATGTGCGGGTCTGCTGCAGCTCCCAGGTCCCGTTCCACCTCTTGATGATCAGGGGTATCATCCTGCCATCCCAGGAGTGACCAACAAGGCTCGGGCTCAATGGCTTGGAGACGAGAAGGCTGGGGGGGTGATAGAGAGGGCACTTGTTGGAATTTGCTGGAGGCAGATTCGAAGCAAACCCGAATCAGTACTTCTTTACACAGCCCGACGTTAACTGGTGGAACTCCTTGCTGCAGGAGGAGTCTGGCACAGAAAGGACTAGACTCATTCAGGGAGGACGGGGTCGTGGGAGCAACTGGAGAGGACAGTCCAGGCTGGATGCTCTGACATCCCTAAACCAAGGCTGTCCAGCTTCTAAGGGGACAGGGGCTGACTACCCCATGGGCTGCACCAGCAGGGGATACATGACCATGGGTGGAGCTGCAAGTAGATCTTCAGTGTGACACTACTTTTATCCTTGTGAGGTACCCAAGGGGACCCATCTCCCACCCTGCTTGAGCCCTTAAACAGCCATGATCACCGTGTCCGGCTACATGCCATCAAGCTGTCCCCTCGTGTCTCCTCCCAGGCTGGCCTCTCTGCAGGGCCAGGTATCGGAGCTGGAGGGCCAGCATCAGCAGCTGCGGGGGCAGATGAAGGGCCTGGGCTGGGGCAACTCGGCCGTGAAGCTGGAGTACGACGCGCTGCGGGACTGCTACCGGTGCCGGGAGTGCGAGCTGCGCAGGGAGGTCGAGAGGAGCCAGGAGCTGACTGAGAGCCTGGTGCGGAAGAAGGCCAAGGCTGCCGAGTACAAGAACTACCAGAACGAGAGGTTTAAACGGTGGGTCATGGGCCTGGGAGACTGGGCGAGATCCCTCGCTGCCCCGGGCTCAGTAGAGGGAGCCTAGCTCCCATGCTGGCCGTGGCATGGGTGCAGCTCCACCAGCATCAGCAATAGCAGCATCCCCGGTGTAGATGGGAAGCCAGGGGCCCTACCTGCCCTCAGTTTGGGATTCGGGGACACTGCCGTGACTTCCCATCCTCCCCTTGCAGGGCAAAGCATGACGAGCTGTCCAGGCAGCTAAAGAAGGTGACAAATGAGACCATCAGCATTGACATGTGAGTCAGTGGGAGCCCCAGACCCCTTGCACTACCGGTGGGTGGGTGGGTGGTGGGTGGTCAAGCCGCCGCGCCTAAGCATGGAGCAAGGGACAAGTTGGCAGGGAGGCCCTGGCACATGAGACAGGGATGGGCATGGCTGCCTGCATCAAGGACAGCGAGACTCAGCAAAGGCAGGCGTGCCCAGGTCAGTGGTGAGCCACAGCTTCCCGTGTGCAGGTGGTGTGTCTGGGTGGTGCCCCGGCAGCTGCAACCAGCTCCTGCTCTTGGCCCTGTTGCTTTGTAGCTGCTGGCTACATTTGGGAGGGCGACAAGATCTTAGATGGGTGGAAGAAGCTCCCTTGGTGGGATGGTTTCCGCTCTCGGGGCGTACTTTTCTTGGGGTGCTCACCTGCTCTGCAAACCAGCCGTCGGAGAAGCCCTCGCCCCAGGCTAACACGCTGCCTGCTTCTCCCTGCAGTGGCCCAGAAGAGGTGAAGCCAGCCAAGGGGAAGGGGCCCAGCCAGGATTTCACCAAGCTGGAAGACTGCGAGAAGCCAGGGAAGAGACCATTTAGGTAGGGAGGTGCTGCTGGCTCCTAGGTGAGGCGATGGGGTCTCCAGCAAAGTGGAGTCAGATCATAGCTCTGGAGACACTTCCCTCCTATTAGAGCAGAGAGGCAGGGGGACAGGCTGCCCAGGGGAGCAGAGGAGGTGGGATAAGTCCCGGACAGGGGGGATTAGGGTCATAGGATCATTGCAAAGTCAGGCTGGAAGGGTCCTTGGGAGATCACATCTGCTCAAGGCAGGACCAGCCCTGGCTAAACCATCCCCGCCACGTGTCTGCTCTTGAAACCTTGCAAGGAAGGAGATGCCCCAGCTCCTGTTTCAGTGTTTGCCCAGCCTCAGAGTCAGAAAGTCACTCCTCATCTCCAGCCTCAGTTTACCCTGCTGCAGCTTGAGTCCTGTCCCCTGCAGCCACAAAGACAAGCCCATCTCCAGCCTCTCTTCAGGGACTTGAAGACTACAGGGGATTGAGCCCGCACACACACACGCTGCACACGACAGTACGGGCTCTTGCAGGCTTTTCCTCCACTAGGACCTAAGACCACTGCAGACTAGTTGCGAGGAAGCCAGGTGGGAAAGCTGTTCGAGTCCTGGGCCTGCAAGGAGTCAAAGCCCTGAGAGGCTTGTGTGGAAACGAGTTAGGTGACGATCACAGCTCGAGGGCTTGAAGGTGGTAGAGAAAACTCCCTGGTCCCTTTAGAAACCAGATGACCGCACTGACCTCTCCATCGCCGGCTTGCCCGGCTGAGTCAGGGGCGTGTGAGGCCGCGGGGGTGGCTGTGAGTCAGCTCCGTCCCGTCCTCTGTGCTTGCTCACTGCTTCCATGGTTTGACCTTGGTGGCCTAGAGACGGGCGAGTCGACCTCAGTTGAATCCAAACCAGCCTGGATCTCGCCAAACCCGAAGCACCCTCTGGCTGCCGGGCTCTGTCTGAGGATGCTGTCGCCAGCACTTGGCACGAGCAGCGTGTCCTGCTCAGGGGCTCAGGCCCTTCCTGGAGCAGGGTGATTAAAGCCCAGCACCGAGACTCAGGACTTCTGGCTCTGACACTGACCTGCTCCGTGACCTTGGGGGAGTCACTTTGCTTCCCTCTGCCTCCGTGGATACCAGGGCTGTGTGTCTGGAGGCTGGAAGTGCCATCACTAGTGCAAATGCTGACTGCTGCTTCATGCTCACCCTCCCATCGGTCACACCTCCTGCCCTCTGGCTTCTGTTTGACATGGCATTCATCGCTGGCGGTCGGGAAGGGCCCCTTCTGCTGTCCTTCCCACCACCCCGGCCCATTCCCATCCATACCGTTCTCATCCATTGCCTTCTTTTCTGTTTGGCATCTAATTTAGATCATCCTCAGCCACCTCCATGACAATCGCCCGCTGTGTGGATGTGTTCAAGGGCTTGTTTGAGTAAGTCCGGTGTGTGTCTAGTGTCACGGGGGCCTGTCTGTTGCGGCGGGTTGGAGAGGTTCCTCTGTCACCCCCCACCGTCCTCCGTCAGGGCATGATCTGTTGTTATTAAATGTGTGATGGGGCCTGGTGCCCCTGGCAGGGTGGTTTGCTCGTGCTGGCACCCAGCCCTGCCCTCCTTAGTTACAGGCTGAAGCGTGGGAACTCGGTCAGCAGCCGCTTGGAGTCAAGCTACGGCTATGTGCCCGCCTGCCTCGTGGCCTGCTTGCCATCCTTCATCAGTGACATCCAGGTAAGAGCTCCCTGGAGCGCTGCGCCTCCAGCCCTTCTCCTGGTTGACCGCCCTGCCGAGCCTCTTCCTCGCCCCTAGCCCCTGCGCGGATGCACGTCCCTGCTGGGGCTGATTCTGCGCCCCTCTCCGTGGTATCTGGCAGCGTGTCTCCCACCTGCCCAGGCAGCATGCAGGCTCTCAGCTGGCAGATCAGGACAGCTGGCAGCCCCCAGCTAGCCTCCCCTCCACTTCTCTCACAGCCCCCTCTTTCTATCCGTCCATGCTGCCCATGCCCATGTGCGTGCTCCCGGAGGGGCACGGGTGGGCTGTCAGGGCATGGAGCGGCAGGATGTGTGCGGGGCGTGATGCTGCATGGAGAGGAAAGGAAGCCATGTGCTTGTGGCACTGGATGCGGGACTCAGGAGATCTGGCTTTGCTGCCTGGCTCTGCCACAGCTCACCTTGGTGTCCCTGGGCATGTCCCCAGCGGCGAGTGGGCTCACCCTACTCCTGGTGCCTGTCTTGCCCGTTCAGGCGGCGAGTGCTTTGAGGCCAGGGTCCTCTCCATGTCCTGCACCAAGTAGACCCCGTCTCGGTTGTCATTACTGAACTTTTGGTAATAGCCGCCACGCGCTGAGGCTCTAAGCCTGGGATGTCCCACCCGAGGCTGCCAAAAATGGGGCCATGAGTGAGGGCCATTTATGGGCCAGTGCCCGGAGGTAGACTCGGGGATCCCCTTGCCTCGACTGCACTAATCCCCGTGGAAAAGCATCGTCCTTGCTGCATTTTCCATCCTCCCGTTCCCCCCTCTCCCCACAGGAAGCGCACCTCTCGGAGGTCAACGCCGTCAAGTTTTGCCCCAGCTCTACCATGCTGGCCACGGGGGGCACCGACAAGCTCATCAAGCTCTGGAACGTGGTGGGAGGTGAGCCGGGCCGTGTCTGGCCCCGTGGGGCAGCAGAGGGTTAAAGCATCGGCGGAGGGAGTTGGCAAGCTCACTTCTTGTCCCAATTGGAGCCCCGCTCCGTGCTGGGTGGCTCCCTGCTTCTCTGGTATCTTCCCTGCTTCCCAAAATATCCAACCCTGGGAAGCTCCTCTCCTGGCAGCCAAGCTCCTCCATAACCCCGTTACTCAGGGAGGGAAAACTGAGGCACAAAGTTGCCCCTGCGTTTGGGGGCTTGCTGCTTCTCTGAGACACTGAGCGGAGCGGGGATCACCGCCGCGTCTGTCTGCTCTCAGGGAGGCTGGAAAGCGTGCGGACCCTGGAAGGTGCCAACGGCAGCATCACCAGCATCGAGTTCGACCCCATGGTGAGTGCAGGGCCGGGGGGGCACGCAGGCCCCTGCAGCCCGCGTGGCTCTGGTGCGGGGGGAGCGTGTGCTGAGCATGGACGGCAGATGGCAGCAGTCAGCCGTGCATGGGAGCCGCCTGCCCTGCCAGCTGCCTCCACGCCGGCCACGGGGTGCTCAGCCTGCCAGGCACTTGCTTCCCTTCCCCGGCTCCCTTGCAGGGTGTAGCGACCTGACACCCTTGGCATCTGTGTGACTGCCAATGGCAAGGGCAGTGGCAGCCCCCAGTGAGCCCCCAAAAACGCCAGTGGTCCCAGGGCCAGGCCTGCCGTGACTTTCCAGTGGTGCTGAGCCGCCCGCCACGGTGCCATGAGACACAGCTGGAGCCCCTTGCTCAGGGACCCTAGGCCCTGCTGAGAGAGCGCTGGCTTGGCATGCTCCACCACGGACCCCTCTGCTCACCCCTTCGCCCTTCTCCTCCAGGGCTGCCAGATCCTGGCGGCATCCTACAACAAGGCAGTGCAGCTGTGGAAGATCGAGGACTGCAAATCCAGAGTGAGTGCCCTTTTGGGCCATGGCTGCTTGGGTTGGCATGGTCAAGGGGCTAGGCTAGGGACTGCTTCATCCCTGTCTCTTCTAGGGCAGCAGAAGGGTGCGAGAGTGGTGCTGGGGGGGGATGTGTGCCCAGCGGGTCATGCCATGTGCCAGCCACCACATGCTGCATTGGCTGCTGGGAGCGACAGGGAGCTTTGATGTGCCCAAAACCGTGTGCATGCATTCCCCAGGGGTGCCTGCAGCAGACAGCAGGGCTGCAGGTCTTGGGCAGGGCGGGTTGCTTTCTGGGGTGATAGGAGGGGGGTCCTGTGACCAGCCCCGGGCGCTGTGCTTGCAGGAGACGCTGACGGGCCACACTGACAAGGTGACGGCTGCCAAATTCCGCTCCACGCGCTA